CCGGCAACAGATTTGTGCACCCACAGCGGGCACGGGGCTGCAGCCTGACCAGATTGGCATGTGCAGGAGCTGCCTCTGCAGCCCAGTAGGTAGGACCCCGCTACCACTGCTACACCACCAGCAACACAAGAAGTAATGGACTGGGGGGCGAGGTGGTGTGCTGCCCTTACTTTGTCCCACTGCCAGTTGTTCGACCTATACCCCACCGCCATGGCCCAGCCTCTGCTGTAGCTTCCCTCAGGCTGCAGCTCTACTCCAGAGGGGATGTGTGGTGGTGGGCAGTGTGAGCAGCCTAAGGAGACCACCAGCCTGGGCCATGGCAGCGGATTAGAGCTACAGTCCAGCGCACAACCAGCCAGCAGTGGGAGGAGGTGAGGGCAGTGCAACCCCCCCCGCGCACGCACGCACGCACGCACGCACACACACACACAGTCTGTTACTCCTCTCGCTGCTGGTGGCTCAGCTGGCGCAGGGGTCCCAGCAGTGATGATAGCAATGAGTCTCGCTGCCCCATTCTGCCCTCCTGTGCTAGGTCCCTGCAGAGGTGGCTTCTGCCTGTGCTGGTCCAGCCAGGCTGCAGCCCCAGGCTTGCTGTGGGTTCACAAATGTGGAGGCGGTGGGCACGTGCCCCCCATGCCTCACCCACAGATCCCCTGGGGGCAGTGAGTGAGGGGCACCAGCAGGCCTGGGGGGGTGGGAGGCTGTGGGTTTTGGGGTGAGGGGCACCAGTAGAGCCAGGGGGCTGTTTCTACTTAAATATTTACTGAGTTGAGACTGGCCGTCAGTGTTTACAAATGGGGTCCTGGTACAGAAAAGGTTGAGAACCACTGCTCTCCTTGAAAAGCCTGAGCCAGTTCAGAGGCTCACAACAGAAACATTCTCCATTATGTTTTTATCTCTGTCCATCTGCTTTGCTTGCTAGTGAAGAATCACGTCTGGCTTTTAAACGATGGCAGTTCCTTTCAGCTTTCACTTTTCCCACACCTGAGGAGCTGTTGCTTGAGTGAGCTAGAGTCAAAATCTACCTGTGTTTCAAATGTTGTGGTGGATGCAATTCAGCTAGGGGGTTGACACACACATGGGAGCAGGAAATGTGGCAAACGCTTCCAAAAGCAGCTACTTTTAAAGTCTTTTAACCAGGTTTTTGGCTTGGTTTATGTATGATTTTGGACCAGTTTCAATAGAGTGGTGCTGAACATGTAAGCAGGTGTTAACCAGTGGGGGACCAACATTTTAGGCAGCTGTGCCATGAATTTGCCTCACACCCTCTCTGAGTGCCACACTGATCCTCTTCCCCTTCCTCTTCTGCTGCTGTGCTTTCTGTTCCTTGTCCTGTGCTCCTTACCTCTCTGCTTTCTGCTTCCTGCCCTATCTGCCACATTGGTAGCTGGATGGATGCTGGTTTTTTCTATAGGCATGCTCTTAGGTTTTAATCTTGCAATTTATAGGGCCCAGGTGGAGCATCATGAAGTCCGTGAGGTTCTGCCTAGTACCACAGTTTGTCCATGTGCTGCTAGGTGGAGAATGGAGACCATAGTGTGGTTAGCAACTTTTGTACAGCATAATAAGGACTAATTGTAAGCATATGACAGCAGAAGGATTTGGCAGGGAGTTAAAAGAAAGATCAAAATGAGTCAATAGAGAAGCTACAGCTGCTCTTTTAATTAGCCGCAAACCTGCAGAGCTGCTTCTGAAGCTAAAGAACTGGCTCTTTTCAAGATCTGTATTATTGCAGTGCCTAGGAGCCGTAGACAAGAACCAGGAACCAGGACACCGTTGGGCTGGGGGCAGTAGGGAGGTGCCTGATGACGTTAGTAAAAGCTAGTAGGAATTTCAAAGGTCACAGTCACCTAAATAACCTTAAGAATCTTGCCCCCATATCTTATCTGAGGTACAGGAAGATGTGTTAGTTGTAACATGTGAGAAGATGTTTGTGATCTGTCCAAGAAGAAGTCCTCTGCTAAGTGTTTCAGAGGTGCGCCCTTATTGCTATTTCTGGTTTTACCAGTGTGGGACTGGAAGAGCAGCAAGGAGAAATGGCTTTCCAGAGATGCAGCGAGTCAGGGCAGAGGTGGGATTGCTGAACAGAGCTGTCTGAGCTCTGTGTTATATATATCCCCTTGGATCACCATGACCTCTGCAAAGTGGCCACAGGAACCATCTTCTGATCAAAGCTGCATTACTCTGACTGTGACGGTGAAAGGGACAGTATTGCTTTTTGTCTCTCCAATGGCTGGGAGCAGCTTCAAAGATAAGCTGGTCATAAAGTCAGATGCTGCAGTAAGAGCTGAATCTGGCAAGGTGGTCGACCCCAGCAGACTTCCTGCCTATGGCGGAGGGGGCTGGACTCGATGAAGTTGTGAGGTCCCTTCCAGCCCCTAGTGTCTATGAAATCTATGAAACTGTCAGCGAGATTTTGATATATTTTATCCTGCAGACATTCAGGCCAGTAAAACTCCAGAGCAGCACCTCTGAAACTGCTTTTTGGGCAACTGAGGCCCTGGGCAGATGTTACGCTTAAGATGTGATTAACCAGTAAATCATGTCTTAATTTGTTACCCTGCCACATGTGATAAAACAAGGAATAAATAAGCCGCAAAGTTATTACACAAAAAAAATGTAATTGAACATGGGGTCAGGTTGGGGGTCCTAGCCACAGGGTGTGCTCCCCAGGAGCCCTGTTAGCTGTGGGAACTCGCTGCTTGCTGGTGCAGGGGGAGCCTGGGATCATGATGCCAGGCTCCCCCTGCACCAGCAGTAAGGCATGATGGGGTCTGACGTTTGATCCCACAATCGAGCCTCTTGCCGTGGACACGTGGTATAGTGAGAAGTGCACTTGTGGGGCTCATGCATCAGATTCCATCACACACTTACTTGCATCTCTGCCAGGGGCCTAAGTGCTTATGGCGTGCTGGCCCTTCAGCTGCTGAATTGCATTGAAAGACACACAAAATACCCCTTAGAATTACCAGAGCTGGTAAGTGAGACAGTATTAAGCTATGATCCTAAGTTTTGAAAACCCTGGATCTAAATAGTTTTACCTGCTCATCCTCACAGTTTCTGAGCAGCTGGGAATTTGGTTGTATAAAATGGGGAAACAGTTTTTCCACAGCACTTTTAAAGCACATCACAAAGCACTTTATAAAAGGAGTCGCCATCTAAGGATCATTACTACTTTTAAGTGAATATTCCTGCAGCATTTGCCTAACTCTAATATTGGGGGTTGACAAGCCTTGGAGTAGGTGACATTGAAAGCTCCATCTACAGAATTTCTTGTGTCGGATACTAGGCAGACAAGGATCTTTGGGTCAATCTGATATCTTTTTATTAGTATAGTTGTGCTGGATACTGAAGTTCCACCGTAAAGCCACAAGAGGGTACTTGTGTCACTTGCTGAAAATTTGAAGCTGGGTTTGAAGCCCTGGGTGACAATTCCTCCTGTGCTTCCTTCAGTATTGTATATGAATGGTTTTGACTGCCATAGAATCAAAAGTGGTAGGTCCTTGGTGAGAGTGTCTTTATCGTGATTCCCACTTTCTACCCAAAACCTGCCTTTGCAGGCATTCGGTTTAACTGTACATTTTTCTCTGAAACTGAATTTCCTACCCTGGAGTACTGGACCTTCACCAGTTACAGATGTAAAGCTTAAATGCAAGGACTGAGTGGGTTGGGGATTGATAATGGGTACTCAGCCCTTTCTCTGTAGGTTGCAGGCTCAGCTCCAGCTCAGATCTTTCTAACTTGCTGGTTCCCCGAGCCGGTGAAGGGTAACAGTTCCCATGAGGCTATAACTTTGGTTTGCAGAGCCTTGATTATATGGGAGGGTAGATGAGATGGTACGATGCCCAAGCTGAGTTTGCAAGGGGTGGCAGTGAAGGAGGGAAAGGAAAGTTATAACTGAACAGGTTTGACTTGGATTCAAGATAATAAGCACAATCCCCCGATGCCATTTCCACTCACTCTTCAGGGCAGCACTGTTTGTGACAACAGTTTCTGTACATCAGAAGGCCTAGTTTTAAAAATCCCTTCTTGGCTCCTTTTTCCTGTGGGCCCAAGCAGTAGTAACTCATGTCTGTTGATTGCTGCTGCTAACTACCCCGTAGGTATCAGGCAGCAATGCACATCATGGTTGCAAAGCGAGCTTGTCTATTGGCTGTTTTCCACAATGATCGTGTCACCATTGTTGTTTATTGCAGTAACTGTGGTGTTGTGGAAACACGTGACAATCGGAGTTTCTCCTTGTTCTACAAATTGTTGTGTAAATGCTGTGTACAGCACTGAGTGCAATGTCCCCTCAACCTGATTAGCCTGTAGGAACTGTCAGAATGCAAATATTTAATAAGACCCTGTTCCTGCCAGAGAGAAGTGACCAGTGTTACTTGAAAAAGACACAGTAATTGAGTGTAATCAATAATAGATGGGAAGCGGGGAAGGTAGGTCTTTATTGGTAATAAGATTAGGCCGTACTGTGCTTGACACATTAGTCCTATATTTCAGCAATGTAGGGTGACTTAGGCTCGACTTGGGAAATGACATCCAGGGATGGGGTTCAGTGGTGAGCTGTCCTCTAACAAATGTAACCTTTGTCTTCTAGAGTCTTCAGCCAACGAACCAAAGAAAACGTTCAGTCTTGAGGAGAAAAGTAAATCCTCCAGGAAACGCGTTCATTATATGAAATTTGCAAAAGGTAAGAGGAACTTAGCTGTTCTTTCGTGAACCACAGCCAGGGTTGTAAAATGCATGTGCTAGGATGACAGATTACCCTCAGAGACTTAACATATGGCAACTGAACAGGAAGGGAAGAGTATCCCTGGGGCCACCTGCTTTAAGCTGTAATACAGACTTCACTTTTTTGATGGCATTATGCAGTTGTTGAATTATGTAGTCCCTGGCTATGGGAAGCTGCTATTTACTGAAGGAGGGTAAATATGCTGAATGATACTAAAAAGGAATGCAAAGATGATAATTAAAAGCTGCTGCTTAGGTGTCTGTACTGTTATATCCTCTGCAATCTCCAGTGACCTCTGAAGAGATCACGAGGATAAGATCATTGATATGATTAAGCAGTGAGAGGAAAGCCCTGTTACGCTGATCAGATATTCTTTCCTCTGGGAGCTGATGTCCTCATTCACCCAAATAATTAAATTTCAGCTCCTGAACTTTCTCCCTTTTTGCAGAGTGAAGGCTGCATCCTTCAGTCATCCTGATGCCTCCTCCTTTTGGCTCTTTCTGTAGCAGCAGTCCTATTCCACCATCAATTCTGTTTTCCTGTATATCAGCAAAAATTGGGGGGGCTGGGGAGGGGGCAGGATCAGTTTCATAATATTTTCCACTAACAGCTGCATTGTTAAAATAGAAAGCTCTGAGTAGCGTTGTTTTCCTGATAATAGATGCATCACGTAAAACAGTGGCAGTTGACTTCTGAATGGGGGACATGTTCCAGTGTTAATTCTGATGGAATAAATGGGCTCAAAGTCAGAGGCGTTAACATGACCCTTGTCACTGCACAACATAAAACAGGGGTTGGGATTTGGAGTAGATGCTTAGTTCTGTGGCAACTAAAAAAAAATTGTACTGGTCATTTAACCTTCTACCAAAAACCGAGAAAGAAAGGAAAATCATTTAAACATAGAATCATAGAAAATTAGGGTTGGAGAGGACCTCCAGAGGTCATGTAATCCAACCCCCTGCTCAAATAGGACCAGCCCCAACTAGATAATCCCAGGTAGGGCTCTGTCGAGTTGGACCTTAATCTCCAAGGATGGAGATTTCACAACCTCTCTACCCGTTCCTGTGCTTCACCACCCTTCTAGTGAGACAGTTTTTCCTAATATCCAACCTCAGCTTCCCTTGCTGCAACTTGAGCCCGTTGCTCCTTGTTCGGTCATCTGCCCCCACTCAGAACAATCTAGCTCCATCCTCTTTTGAACCCCTCTTCAGGTAGTTGAAGGCTGCTATTAAATCCCCCCTGAGTCTTCTCTTCTCTAGACTAAATGGCCCCAGTTCCCTCAGCCTCTCCTCACAAGCCGTGTGCCCCAGCCCCCCAGTCGTTTTCATTGCCCTCTTCTGGACTTTCTCCAATTTGTCCACATCCTTTCTGTAGTGAGGGAGAACAAACCTGGACTGCAGATGTGGCCTCCCCAGTGCTGAATAGAGGGGAATAATCACTTCCCTGGACCTACTGGCAATGCTTCTACCAATGCAGCCCAGGATGCCGTTAGCCTTCCTGGCAACAAGGGCACACTGCTGGCTCATATTCATCTTGTTGTCCACTGTCACCCCCAGGTCCTTTTCTGCAGAGCTGCTGCCCAGCCAGTCAGCTCCCAGGCTGTACCAGCACATTGGATTGTTCTATCCTAAATGCAGGACTTTGCACTTGTCCTTGTTGAACCTCATGAGATTGTTTAGGCCCAATCCTCCAATTTGTCTAAGGCAGTCTGAATCCTAACCCTACCCTGCAGCATATCTACTGTTCCCCCAGCGTGGTGTCATCTGCAAACTTGCTGAGGGTGCAATCAAACCCCTCTTCCAGATCGTTAATGAAGATCTGGAACAAAACTGGCCCCAGGACTGACCCCTGGGGCACCACTTGATACCAGCTGCCAACTAGACATTGAGCCATTGATTACTACCTTTTGAGTCTGATGATCCAACCAGCTTTGTGTTCACTTTACAGTCCATTCATCCAACCCATACTTCCTCAGCTTGCTTGCAAGAATGCTGTGGGAGATGGTATCAAAAGCCTTGCTAAAGTCAAGGTATATTACGTCCACTGCTTTTCCCACATCCACAGAGCCAGTTATCTCATTATAGAAGGCAATCAGGTTGGTCAGGCAGCATGACTTGCCCTTGGTGACTGTTTCTAATCACCTTGTCCTCCAAGAGCATAGAAATGGATTCTTTGAGGACCTGCTCCATGATTTTTCCAGGAGTTTAATACATAAAGTATTAAGGCTTCTTTGTTAACAATGTTCACATTCCCTTCAGCTCTAAAGAATTTTTATAAGGTTCCTCCCTTGATAACCTTACAATACTATGAAAGAGGGCAATTGTTATTTTCAGGGGAAAGCAGTAAAAATTAGATGGATTGAATATGTTAAAATCCAGCTCTACTTGCCTGAAGACAAAGCAAAACTACAGGCAAGAGGTTGGACTAGATCAGCATTTCTCAGCCCATGGGTCACGACCCAAAAGTGGGTCTGAAGGATATGTGAAAGGGTTGGAAACAAACTTTAAAAATGAATCAACAAACTTAAAAAATGGACTCTCCTTTAAAGGGAAAAATGTGAGAAACAGTGGCTTTTCCCTTGCAGGCTGACAGAGCTCCAGCCTGCAGGGGGCTGCTTGGGACCCACCATGCCCCACAAACTACCCTCTGCCCCACACACTGCAGGCCTGGGGCCTGGGGTAGGAGGCAGAAAAGTCAGCAGTGAAGGACACTGGGTCGGGACTGGCCATTGAAGTTTGCAAAGGGTCCCGGTACAAAAAAGGTTCAGAACGACTGGGCTAGATGATCTCTGGAGGTCCTTTCCAGCTCTACTGTTCTCTGATGCTGTGATACATCACCAGAGGAAAAAGAAAGAATGGCAGAGATGGAAGATGTAGCTTCTGTTTCTGATGCTGATTCTGACTTGTGACTTCACTGTGAGAGGATGCCAAGTCCAGCTCATGGGTTTTGACAGTCGCACCTGTTTGTACCAGCATCAGGCGAGCCATTGCTGCCTTCTGGTCAAGGCTCGCAGTGGTTTTACAAATGTGGTCTTGGTTGGCTAAGCCAGATTATTAAACAAAAACAAAGAGAGGAGCCTAGAAAAGAAGACCTGAGGTGTGGAGGAAGGAAGTAACAACAGGAACATGATCTCCCTTTCCTGGTGGTGGCCGTGATTTAGCTGAAGCCAGCAAAGTGATTTGGAGCCCTCTCCATGGCTCATTGTAGACTGGGTGTCTCATAGGACAAGGGCAGCATAGGCCTGCTGATGTTATGGATTATGGGGTCCTGGGAGATGATGAGGATAGCAGCCAGGATGGTAAAGCTCATTTACACATTCTCTTGACGTCAGGAGCAAAGCAAGGACCCTATAAAGGCTTGGTTGTTGGAATAGCCTGTCCTCTCATTATTTTCTCTGCAAGTTAAGCCTGATGATGGCACAGCAGCTTTGGTTTGTGGACTTTGGGTCTCTCTCCTGGTTGACCAGACTTGATCCCCCACATAGCCATCAGGTTATATCAATATTTCTGCTCATTAGACCTAGTGTGTTCTTTCTTCTATCTTTAACTGATTTTTTTTTTTTTTACACCAATTTTCTTCAACAAGTTAGACAAGACCTCTGTATAGCTGGCCTCATCACAGGCTGCAGCTAAGTTCTGGTAGTATCTCAGGATGTCATGTTGCTCCTTCTTTCTTCTCCTTCTGCACTTTCTCCACTCCAGCAGTATTCGACCACTCTAGTGATCAGATGGAGTCCTTGAAAATATTTTAGAGACCTGTTATGTTAGAGCCATGTGGTATGCTCAAAGGTAGAAGTTGTGCTCCTCAGAAGCAGCTTCCAGGTAAAGTCCCTCCTGAGCAGTGGTGGCTTTTTCACATCGACAGCGTGTGAGACAGGATGCGAGACCCATCAAGGGCCTGTGAGAACTTGAAGACACAGCTTCTCCCTGGTCTAACCCCATGTGCAGAGGGACACCGACCTTTCTTCCCTCTGAAATGGGACAGCCTGCTTCCCCTCTGCATCCTGGTAATTGGCTATGCCTGTGTTTTCCTTGCCTCCTTTGAAATGCCTTTCAAACCTAAGGGAGCGCAGATGCAAGTGTTTGTGTTCACCTTAGCATAGCCCCCTTCCACCAGTGGGTAGTTTGTCTTCTCACCATCTGTTTCCCCACCCATTCTTCTGCACATGAAGGTATAACATCCTCCATCTCCCCAGAAACAGGTTCTCTGATCCAGCAGTTTGGTTTTTATGTTGTCCTGCAAGGATTTATGATCCTTAAGAGTAATGTTTGTATTCCTTTGCTTTCTCTCAGGCAAGGATCTCTCTTCCCGCAGCGAAGAGGACCTGTCCTGTATTTTTGGGAAACGAAACAAGAGTTCAAAGACTCAGGTAAATCAGTAGGGTTAGCAACTTCTCTCTGTTTCCTGAACATTTTGCTTTCTAAAGAAACCACTCAACATCTCCAAGTGCGTTGCTGCACATGACTTTCACATGCTTTTCAAGGAGCACTGGGTCTTTTGTATGTACAGTGACCATGTCTTCCACGTTGAAGCTGATGGTAGATGAGCAAGCTTTCAACTTCTTCGTTATAGTGTGAGTTTAGTGGATGTTTTCAGGATCTACAGTAGACATAACTTCTCTAAAACAAGCTGGTACCAAACCTCTAGAAGGATGTATTGTTAATGTTTTCTACTTTACACACAGTATACAGCACTCAGGGAATCAAATGCATTTAATTTAATTTGAAGGTTATACCGCTATTGTAAATATAACATACAGTAGTCAGAAAACAGCAGCCTGTTTCAGCAGACTGGTTCCTATTTTTACTACGGGGGGTGATCGTTTACAAATATTTAACACAAGGGGCTATTTAATGTTGCACTGGATATGGTGACTTGGAGCAACTTTTATGGCCCTATACATAGCGACCAGTTCTGCTATTACATACTTTCTTGGGCTTTGCTTACCTCAAGGGAGGTAGAACATGAAGTCCAAGTTAGTGTTGATAGACCCACCTTGTCTTGTAGGAGTGAACTTCCACTGTACAGAGGTGGTGCCTTGTGGATCAGGGAAGTGTTTGCCACGTTATTACACAAAACTACATGTGCTAGAGTAGGGGTGGACAACCTGGGGCATGCAAGCTACAAGTGGCCTTGGCACACCCCGTGTGTGGCAGGTGGCACAGCAGCAGATAAGGCAGAAAGCAGAAAAACAGATAGGGCAGAAAGCAGAACATTGTACCTGGCAAGCGAAGGGGACTAGAGGTGGCACTTAAGGAAGGCTTAGTTTGTGGCACACCTGCCAGAAGGTTGGCCTTCACTGTATTAGAGCAAGACTGTGCAGAGCCTCACACAGCCTGCATTTAGATGAATCCTGAAGCTGTTCTAAATCTTTACCAGAAGCCAAAAACGTTGAACTGGGGGCAGGGATGTGTTGCAATATTTTTACTCTGGCAATTCTGTTAGTAGCAAATATGTGTAGACCAGCAGTTCCCAGTCTGTAGTATGGGTACCACCAGTGGTATGCAGACAACCTGTCAGTGGTACGTGTTAACAGATTTATTATAATTACTTTATATGACCAAAATTTGCTGGTGGTACTTATGGTTGAACTAAAAAATTTGCTGGTCGTATCTTTTTAAGGTTGTATCGTTTTAAATTGGTGGTGCACGATCTGTCACACTGGGAACTGCTGGTGTAGGATGTTCAAATCCTGACTCGAAGAAATTAGGGAAACCTTCAGAAAAACCCCCAAATGACAGTACATGGTTTAAAAACCACTATTAATGACAGGACAAAGCTTCTGGGTCATGTCCCATGGAGGTATTTTGTGTTGCTGTTTTCCAGTATCTAATACTTTGAAAAAGAGAGACCTTGATTGGGAGTAGCTAGGGCAGGGGTGGGCAGTTATTTTAGGTGGAGGGCCGCTTACTGAATTTCAGCAAGCTATCGAGGGCTGCATGACAGGCAGCCAGGGGCAGATGTATATTAATTTTCTAAATTTTTTAGGGGCCCCGCGGGCCAGATAGGATGGCCTGGCAGGCCACATCTGGCCTGCGGGCTGCATTTTGCCCACCCCTGAGCTAGGAGGTATCAGATCTAAGCTTTATGGGTACAACAGTGCAATTCCAAAACTATAATTAATTAAAATAATTGAGCTTAGAGAAGACTTAAATTTAACCAACTGACAAGTGTCTTGTCATCAACTATAATAATAAGCCTATTGTTTTATAAGTCATGTCTTTTGGGCTAGATAGTTTGGGAACACTCCATGAGCTGCATTGTAGTTGGTCTTCATTTATTCAGACCTGGGATAGACTTTTGGTCTTTGAGCCCACAGTAGCTACTAGAGGCCAAAGGGACCATAAGTGTTTAGTAGTAGAGATCCCTTGAAGAATCCATCTAGTACAGGGTTATAGACATACTTTTCAGCTCTTTTGCTAAGGATAGTCCCTTTTGTTGCATCGAGATGAAGCAGAACATGTGGGGACTTGCTGTCTGTCTGTAGTTTTCAGTTACCTGATCTCAGTTCATTAACCTTTGTTATTGAAGATAGCTATCCATTCAGTAGATGTTTGGACCTATGATGGTTGTTCTTCCACTTTGTCATGTAGAGCACATTGAAATCTTCTGGTGGAAGGCACTGTAGAAATTCAGAATATTTGCATGAGCCAAGGGTTTTTTGGGGTTGATAACTTTTAGTGAACCAACTGCATGATTGGGATGAAATTAAATAAGCTTTCAAATGCAAGGCATTCTTCACGTCTTGCATAATACTGCAGCATCACTGCAACATTACCAATGATTTCTATGTGTAAATCTATATAAGCTATGCAGACTTCCATATATAAAGGGTAGTAGCTTGTGATTTACGCCTCCGTGCCTTTCCCCTACTGAACAACGTGAGGGTTTGGGATTGTAGAATCAGCACGCTCTCCATGGTATAATTCCCTCTTTGTGCCCAGATTTCTACACGGCAATACAGACACAGGAGGTAAGGTGACTTGGAGATGTGTTGTCTCCCTTTGGGTCCCTTTTGCAACCAGGAGTAGACCCAACTAGTAGCAATGCAGTTCCTTCTTCAGCCTTCCTAGTTGCAAACCAGTAGCTCTCCCTTCCTTGTGGACCACAGAGATCAGTGAACTTTAGCCATGTCAAAACTGTATCACATAGCCCCTCCAGCTAAGGGGCATGCACTGCTTGCCGTAGAGTAGTGATATTGTGTAGTGCTGCCAGTGGCACTACATGAAATATCAGTTTTAAATGATATTTTTCAGGTTTATGTAGGCTCCATTTTGAAACCTCTGGACACTGGGCATTTTGCTGATGTGGCCAAAAGAGACCACTGCCAATGCAGGAAAGAGCTGTAATTCTCCTAGAAAGTAGCTGCTCATATCTGTTCCTGTTCAGAGATCTCATAGGAAGAGTCCTGGTTCCCCGTTCACACTGTGGCAGTTCACCATCCCCGGCCTTGTGATTATAGTTGCTTCAGCTATTGACAGCCATAATTGAATGCTGTTATCCCTGTACCAGACAAGCTGGAACAAACCCACTGACAAGTTGGACAGCCCTGCTGTAGATAGTACTTCAGTTTCCTGGGTTCTTCAGGTGGCAGTTTTCCAAAATATTAAATTCCTTTTAAATTTAAAAGAAAAAAAAAACCCATAACACCCGGGGAAGTGTCTGACGGAAGTTTGACTTGGACTAAATGAGTTCTCAGCAGGGAAGACCTAGTTATAGCATCACTGTTGATCTTTTTGAAGTGAGGGGTTTTTTATTACAATTCCTGTTTGTTTCACAGGAGTGCCTAGAGGTCCCAGTCAAGGATTAGGACTCCGCTGGGTTTAATGTATTGCAGACGTGCAGGAAAAAAAGACCATCCCTGCCCCGGTTTGGGCTTATGGTATAGCACATTAAACAGATTAGTGGGTGGATGCAACAGGGGAGTGGGGCAGAAGGGAATAGTAAAATGGGTCAATTTTTGTACAGTAAATAGTTTTTCTTGCAGGCTGTTGGCAGGTGCCATCACTGTATAGGAGTCATGGCAGGGGTGAACATTGATGAGAGATTGAGGGATATGGGATCTGGTCTTTGGATTTATTTAGTTTTTCTGTGGGGGCCAGGGGTGGAGTTTGTCTAATGAATAAAGGATCTCATTCTCATGAGACAACGCAAATATATTGGTGAGACAAACGGATTAACTGGTGAGACATGTCAGCAATGGTGCAACAAAGGAGATAATCAGCATTGCGATGAAATGATTCATCTGATGAGTAGGGTGGGGCTAAATCACGCAGGTCCTTAAAGGTAAAGAAGCTTGTATCTGTGGTTGGGATGAAAGGGTTGCCCACGGAAGGCCACAGAGTTGGGTAACAGTCATAATTTTGAGCCAGGAAAATAATCTTCATTTCCATTATGGGCAGCTGCCATCTCTCCTATAGCTGTTCCTTCCTTAACGCAGTGGTACCCTGGTGTTCTGGACACGGCGGATGCACCATTCCCTTTTCAACGGGCATTTTCTTCCTCCCTCATCGTGGCTGTCAGCAAGCATTTTCCTGTTTGGATTCATGACCAACAAAGTCTCGAACAGCAGATTAGTTTGGGGTGGGTAATGGGCCGATTTTAAAATCCAGACTGGCTCATCTTGAAGGTTAATCCGAGTCCCTAGCACGGGACCTGGCATGGCCTGGGATTGCTTTGCCTAAGGGAACGTCTTGTGTCATGCTGTAGTGAGCAGGAATACCTGAGCTGGTTGCCCGTGCTAAAAGCCAGGGGTGGTGACAGGCCATTGTCCTGAGGGCTCTGGATTGCTGGAATTTCATAAAATCATAAACATGAGGGTTGCAGGGACCTCAGGAGATCACATCTAGTCCAGCCCTCTGCTCAAAGCTGGATCAGCCCCAACTTGGGCTGAAGTCGCCTTCAATTTGTGACCTTCTGCAAAAGATGTCAGGTTTGATAGGCTTTTAGGGCCTGTGGATTTGCTTCCCATGACCCTGGAAGGGTGCAGGAGTCTGGCTAGCCGAGATCCTGCTGAAGGAATTAATTCAGGAGGGATCTGACTAGCCAGGATCCTACTGGAGCGATTACTTGAATGCTTCTGGGACTTCATTGTCAGTATCGTATTGTTAATAATGTTAGGGCACTGAGAGCTGTGGATGGGGCCCTTCTTAATTATTTTAAGCCTTTGACTAAATAAATTAATAACTGTTTCCTTCAAGATAAATGGTGTGGCCAAGCACAGCCTTTTTTAAATAAACTACAGAGGGACCTCTGTAATGTCTCCCTTTAAATAAAAAAAAAAAACAAAAAAAACAAAAAAAAAAAAAAAAAAAAAAAAAAAAACCAAAACAACACACAAAACCCCTGCGAAAACAATGGCTGGGCTTT